TGATGACAAGTGGGGTGGACAAACAACCCGTGAATGTTACTATGAGTTCGGTGGGAAGCCTCGGCTCCGAGGCCACCGCAATGTGATCCGCTAGTGAGACCTTGGGGTCCCCTTTACACTATGCCCAATGCCTAATATTTTTTCATGGAATCGGAGGGGAGTAGGAAGCAAACGCTTCTTGCGGGTTTTCAAGGAATACAAGCAATGATATTTTTCGAGTATTGTCATTATTGTAGAACCGAGAATAAGTGGAGATCAGGTCGCTGAAGTTGTTGAAAAACTGGGATATGACAAGCATCTAGTAGTGGATGCGGTAGGGTTTGTGGGAGGCATCTGGCTGGAATGGGATTATGGATCGGTCACGATTACAAAAGCTGATAGATCAACTCAGTTTTTCCATGTAAAAGTGCAATGTGGTTTGCAAAGTTGGTTCCTAACGACCATCTATGCTAATCCGGCCCTGATCCAACGATGCAAAATGTGTCATTCGGTCAGAAGCGTTGCGAAAGATATGGTATAGCCATGGCTCCTTGCGGGTGACTTTAACTCTATTCTCTAGCTAGTGGATAAGCTTAGCGGAGCTCCATTTAACGGCAGTCGCGCTCGTGATTTTTGAGAATGTGTTCTCGATGCTGGTATGGTCGACCTTGGATTCAAGGAACCTCACTTCACTTGGTTCTGGGCGGGGGTTAAGGAGCGTCTCGATCGAGGGCTTGGTAATTCAACTTGGGCCACCACATTTTCGAATACCACGATTTGCCATCTCCGCCGAGTTCGAAGCAATCATCAACCTATCCTTGTCGAACTGTGTCTGAACTTCCAAGATGCAGGACCGAAACCCTTCAAGTTTTTAGCTGCCTGGGTTATGCATGAAGATTTTGCCGATATGGTTACCCGTTCTTGGGGACATGGGAGTGATCTTTTAACATCCATTACTGAATTTACAAATGAAGCAAGGGAATGGAACGTGAATGTGTTTGGACATATACTACGGAATCATAATTCTTTGCTGGGAAAATCGAGCAGATTGAAAGGAGAGTTGGTGGAGATTTGGATGATGTAGAGCTTAAACAAGCTAGAGAGGAGCTTGAAGATATCCTGATTTAGCAAGAGTTACTATGGTGTCAAAATGCCTACCTAGAATGGATTGCATCTAGAGATTGTAATACAAAGTATTTTCACTCAAGAACCATCAACCGATGGTGGCAAAACAGAGTCGTAACGCTGAAAAATAGCTTAAGAGAGTGGGTGGAAGAGCAAACCCTCCTGGTGGAGTTGGCGAGGCTGTACTTTGAGCCCTTTAAATGGATGATGGGGCCCCGATTCGCAGCTTGCTGGGGGCCTTCCTGGAGCTCCCGGCGGAGGTTTGGCTCCCTCTTGACGCATAATTGCCTATGATTGAATCAAGTGGCATTTTGTTCGCAAGATGCTGGAGGCGGCAGGAGTGCCACAACACTTCACAGATATTATGATGAGCTGCATCTCAACAGCTTATATGCAAATACAATAGAACGGTTGTCTTACTAAAGTCTTCTCGCCATCAAGAGGCATCGACATGGTTATCCGTTATCCTCATATATCTTCACTCTATGGAGAGGTAGGGGGCATGTTATTAATGCAGCAATAGAGCGGGGGAGAGTGGAAGATAATCCGTTTGTCTAAGGACAGGCCTCGACTATCGCACCTATTTTTTGCTGATTATTTGATCATGTTTGATGAAGCATCTTTGTCTCAAGTGCAGGTTATCTTGCAGTGCCTAGCCGACTTTGGAGCAGCTTGGGAACAACAAGTGAGTCATGCAAAGTCGCGGGTTTATTTCTCAAAGAATGTCACTAGAGCCGAGACTTCTAGCCTGAGTAATGCCCTAGGTATCCCAGATACAACAAACTTGGGGCGGTATTTGGGGGTGTCTGTCATCCATGATCGGGTGCCCAAGGCGACTTATACGGAGCTTGTCGATCGTATTGATGCTAGATTGGCAGGATGGAAGATCAAGTCACTCTCCCTAGCGGCCGAGATTACTTTTGCACAGTTTGTTCTATCATCCCTTCCAGCGTATACTATGAAGACTTCTCGCTACCAACTTCTGTGCGTGACTATATTGACAAGAAAATAAGAGGTTTCATTTTGGGTAGTTCAGAATAGGGGAGGACGATCCATTTGATCGACTGGGATACATTATATGCACCTAAAGAGGAAGGAGGCCTGGGCTTGCGTAGCGCTACGCGTATGAATGAGGCGTTCATGATCAAGATTGTTTGGTGACTCCTCACCGAACAAACAAGCCTATGGGATCAAGTAATTCGGGGGAATTACTTAAGGAAGACGAAGACTGGATGGTGAGCTAGAGAAGGACGCCTTTCGAATTTATGGAGAGGAGTTCTTCGAGTTCTTCATGTCATCCATGAAGGAACTATGTCGAATATAAACAGTGGAGGGAAGACTCGGTTCTGGACAGACAGGTGGCTCCAAGATGAGTCTTCTCTGACATCATACACATATGACCTCCTTGATGTAGCTCGCGACCTGACAGTGGCAGATTTAGTGCTCAACGGAGAATGGAACCTGATGTACATTCAATCCTTTCTACCCGAAGAGTTGGTCGCTCAACTTTGCTTGCATCCGATTCCCATGAGTAATGAACCTGATGTCCCGATTTGGAGGTACTCGGATTTGAGTCATTTTACTTTGAAGACGACCTATGATTTGACGCAGGAGGAGGCAGAAAGTGGGTAGTTGTATCCTGTATGGAAGAGAGCATGGCGCATCCAAGGCCCCCAACGTACGGAGACGTTCTTCTGGATGGCTTTGCATGGACACCTCCTTACGAACTCGAAAATATGTCGTAGACAACTGGAGCAGGTAGACAATTGCCCTATATGTGGAGGAGGACGGGAGCCGGTTATTCACGTTGTTCGGGACTGCTGCCCCTACACCAGAGCAGTTTGGTCCACCCTATTGCAGAATGAGCCAGATGTTAACTTCTTTGAGTCGGACATCACGAGTTGGGCATTGCACTATATGAGCGGCCGGAGCACAAATGTGGAAGCATCTCTATTTTCTATTATATTTTGGAAATTATGGAAAAATAGAAATGCAAGGGTCTTTGAAAAAACAATTGCTTCGCCGGAGAGTCTAGCACCCAAGGCGAAGGTGTTACGTGATCAGTCTAATCTCGCGTTCGGCAGAGCAGGTAGAGATGGCAAGGTGTCGAGTCAGGGGCGGATAGAGCATATCCATTACCCTACCCAAAGTAGTTTGGGTTTTGCCCATATCCACATAAAAAACGGGTAGAAAATTAAAACCATGCCCATACCCGTTCGGGTTTTGGGTATCCACGGTTATCCATGAGTAATAGTTTCTCTTTTTAACTCCAACCAATATGTTAATATTCACACGTATTCCACATTACATAAGACGAAAAGTACGACAATAATTCACTAGAATGAAGAAAGTTAATTAAAACAACTCAATTTCATAAAAATATTATATTTATACTTTAAATTAAAAATATACTGGAGAAAAATAATGACCATTTATACACAAAATACATATACATGTGCATAATTGGGCAGGTTCGGGTTGGATAGTGAGAAAATCATGCCCACCCATTACCCGCAATATTCGGGTTCGGATTTTACCCGTACCCACTAAAAGTCCTTCGGGTTTGGGTTTTACCCTACCCAATTAGGTCGGATTTGGGCGGATATCCATGATTACGGATATTTTTGCCATCCCTAAGAGCAGGTTACCGGTTACCGGTCTGATTAGCTGGAAGAACCCTCCACCCGGCTAGATTGCAGTAAATACAAATGGCTCGGTTATCCCAACTTTGTGTTGTTCGACGGCAGGAGGAGTTCTACGGGGAGTGATTTTTGGTTCATCAAGGCATTTTCCATGAACTTGAGAGGTGGCTCGATTACCCATGTTGAACTTGCATGCATTGCTAAGGGACTACAAATTGCGTGGGACACAAGCATTAGAAAAGTAAAGCTGTATACGGATTCGGCAGGTGCGATTTCCATGTTGCAGTCGTACAAAAGGACTCATCCGCATTTCACAATGATATCGACCATCCGCAGGCTACTGGCAATGGAATGGGAGGTTAGTACTGATCATGGCTACCGGGAAAGTATCTATGTAGCTGATTATATGGCATCTGTTGGTCGTTCTCTACCTGTTGGAGTGCACGTGTTTGACACTCTGAGTTCACGACTGAGTTATTGGTTGATGTATGATCTTCTTGGGGTTAGATGCCCCGCTCCATTAATATATAAGGGTTAGAGCGCCCCCTGCCCTCTGTTTCTCACAAAAAAAAAATGACCAGTCAAATGATAAAATGTTAGATTATCTGTATTCACATAGCATTTACATAAGCTTTCATGGTTACAAACCATCGTCTAAAATCTGAAAAACTTTATGACCATAAACAATTATTGTAATAACATATAAATCCTTATTGAGTTATACACAAAATACCAACGAAATCGACCAGATCATATCACATATTTACCAAGTTTCCCGTATGATTTCATCATTAGAGCACTAACTATGGAGCTATATTTCTCAAATCATTAATGGTTATAAGTGAAGGCACAATTGGTTATATTATCATATTCATATTCAGGCATCATGACATTGTTTGCGACCTTGTGGGGGGCTCACCCCATTTTGCCTATACATTTGCCTCGCCTGCCTGAGAGAGAGAGAGAGAGTTGCTTTCTTGGTCTGTCTTCTTCACATATATAACTCTAATAAGTAGTCATGGTAGTAGTAGCATCATTTTCCCTTTCTCTCTTTATTATTCTGCAATTTACTACCCTTTCCTTTCTTGTTCCTCTCTTTGCCAAAACAAAGTGTTTGATATTTTCATCCTTCTTCCCTTCCTTTCCCAACAAAAATCAAACTCTCTCCCACCACTTTCCATTCCCATCACTCCTAAACCAACCACAAGTCTCCTCTGTCTCTCTTGCTCTGTTTTTTTGTGGTGGTGGCCGGAGATGGGGTTCTCGATGGCGGCGACGACGGCGGATGGGTACGATGATGAACAAGAGTGCGACTACCTGTTCAAGGCGGTGATGATTGGGGACTCCGCCGTCGGGAAGTCGAACCTGCTGTCCCGATTCTCGAGGAACGAGTTCCGGGTCGACTCCAAGCCCACCATTGGCGTTGAGTTTGCTTACAGGGACGTCCGGGTCGGAGACAAGGTGATCAAAGCCCAAATTTGGGACACTGCCGGCCAAGAAAGGTCGGTCCCTTTAAAATTAGTCTCCTCTCTCTCTCTCTCTCTCTCTTTTTCATTTGAGAATTTCTTATATTTATATGTTAATTATACATTCCACATCTCTCCCTATATAGACTTTGAATTTGAGTAACTTCAGAGATGATCAACTGCTGGATGTTTTCATTTTCATCATCATTCATGTGGAAAGTCAGAGACTTTTGAAAAATTGAAAAGTGCCCAGAACAAGTTTTAAAAATAACTCGAAAAAGTGTTTATATATTAACATAGGATCGAGGTGGATCATACTTAGAGGAAGGAGGAAAAATGTAAGATTGTCTTACTACTCACTCCATCTGAAACAACATAATGATATGATGTTGTTTTCATAACTAATTAAGTATTTCTGATTGCTCACATAAAATTTATATTTATCTTTCATTTTTTAATAAGAAAATTTAATCTTCATGTGAAGGATAAGTTCGTGGTAGATTTTCTTGTTTATTAGAACTATAAAATATTATGTTATACATTATTCAGGGTCTGGTTGAGCCTATTAACTTTTATAATGATGCTTTTGTTACATGAGAAACGTATTAATTTATAATATGGATTAGAGTGGCATTTTGCTCCCTATTTGTGAACGAAAAGATGATCGATTTTCAAGGGTTTCTGGTGTGAGATTTTTTGGGTAATCTCACAACTCTTCACATCTACCGTTCCCAGCCCCGCCATAGAATGTTGGACAGTGACATGAATTGTTGAATTTGACCGAAAGGCCATGGTCAAGATTGACACCATATTGAAACGATGACGTTTTAGTAGTTGGTTCAATGTAGCCTTCTGTTTTTTTTTTTTTTTTACTACCCTTTCTTTCTGAATGATGAATACTTTTCAGAACAATATGTTACGAGGTTTTAATTAAGGGTAAATACAATTTAATATCCAAACATTTCATTTTAAATAATATAATAGCCAAACCTTTTCGAAAACGATTTAATATCCAAATCGTCAACTTTCTGTATGTTTGACCGTTAGTTGACACTTCAAAAAAGTTCGAATGACGACACTTCATCAATATCCATCGATATCTTCTCTGAAAAATCACCAACATATCGTAGTTCCAAACCCGAGAAGTCCATGACTACACCATGATGATGTAGAATATCTAAATAATCAGTCATCTGCAATGCCAAAACAAGAAAACAAAGTTGTATTGTGACAATTTCCCCTAAACAAAGCTTTATTGAAGTGTCAACTAATGGTCAAATGAACGGAAAGTTGACAATTTGGATATTAGATTGTTTTCGAAAAGGTTTGGCTCTTATATTGTTTAAAATAAAAGGTTTGGATATTAAATTGTATTTACCCTTTAATTAACATAGAACATGAGGAGGTTCACGAGATTCGAACTCGACAACCAACACATTAGAATTACAACATTGTTATGATATTATTATGCTATAAATATTTTGGACATTGGATTTGGACCCACTATCTGTGTAATTTGAAGATTTAAAATGATATTAGTAAACTATGCGAACAAAATTATAGTTCTTCTCTTGATTTACTGTACTTCCAGCAAAGATGGTCATGTAGTCAAAAAATTTGTAATCAAACGACATTCTGATAACAGTGTGGCTTAATGGTAAAGTACTTTGGATTTTCCACAATTATGTGACGAAAAATCTTACTTTCCCCAATTTTCCTTGTGCTTGCTTAATTTGTTTGTAAAATGTTAGGCAGGCCCACTGAGGAACAAGTTTTATGATTATGTATGATTGTTTCCATCTCAATCATTTTTTTCATTCACACCCATCCCCATTGGCTTTCTTATTTCATAAGCATCCATACAATAATGTTTGCGTCTTATTAGTTTGTCAGCAATCATCTGTTTTTTTTCATGTGAATTGTTGTCATGTCACAAATGATTTCTCATAACCGGCCCACCAATATAATTATACATATGAACTAATCTCTTAATGCACCACCAAAAAGAAGACACATGCATTGGATTCTTCCCTTTAATAATCAGCGAAAAAAAAAAAGGAAAAAGAACAAATAGGGGATTTATTTAATCAGGTAATTTTTTTTTTAATCCAAAGACTTATTCACCTAAATATATGTATCTAGGCGACAACTACATAGTAAAGAAATTGTAGATTTAAGTCTTGGAGTAAGAGCGGCTACTAGAAGAGAATAGATGCTACATCATTTCCCCACTTGTTTGACGTTTCACATATAAATAAATAAAATAAAGTAGTTAAGAAATTAAATTAATGTACAAACCCGTATGTATCGGTAATGTCACATCATAATCGTACAATATTTACTAACTATGTCTATACCGGCTAGAAATGAAATGTGACAAAAACACAAATTTCTTTGGTTGTGGTACAGGTTCAGAGCAATAACAAGCTCATACTACAGGGGAGCATTGGGGGCACTAGTGGTATACGACATATCACGGCGAGCAACATTCGACAACGTGGACAAATGGCTGGACGAGCTCCGAGGTTTCAGCAGCCCCGACATGGTCATCGTCCTCGTCGGAAACAAATCCGACGTCGGCCGGCAGCTGAGAGAAGTCAGCGAGGAGGAAGGCAGGAGCCTGGCCGAGATTCAAGGCCTTTCCTTCATGGAGACCTCCGCCAGGGACAACGTCAACGTCGACTCCGCCTTCCTCGAGATGATCGCCAAGATCCACCTCAGGAACACTTCCCACAAGACTTTGGACACCGGCGGCGGCAGCAGAGGAGCCTCCTCCGCCGCCGCGGTGGCCCCCGTCTCATCTCTGCCGATGGGGAGACAAATATTGAGTTTCGACGATCAAGTGAACGACGACACCAATAGTAAAAAGGGTAGTGGTAATACCAGAAGATGTTGTTCTTAATTACTAGGAAATCATCCATCGAGTAACCCTGTGTTACCGGCTGTATGTACGTACACAAGACTCAAGAGGTTAGGAAAAGAAAAGGAAACGATTAGTATTCCTTTGTTTCTTAATCATATGCTTGTGATGATGAGTCAGAGTTTGAAACGTTTCGTTGTTTTTTATACCACTTTTGTAACTTGTTCTTTGGAGGTGGAAACTTTTATAATGTTGATTTGATTGCCTCTCAATTTTTAAATATCAAGACAATTGTTACTCGGATTTACACCTCTCCAAATAATGTCTCGACTGGACGAGGTTATTTGGTATTTGGGGAATCTGAGTTAAGTAACCAATATTCTTACGAAAATTCCATGAGAATTCCCCGACTGTATATTGCTACATGGAGAAATGAGAACCTTTCGTGGGAAGAGAGCTCCATTTTATTTTTTTATTTTTTTTGACAAAAGATAATCATATATTGATCAAAGAAAAAATAGTTACACCCTGGACACCAGCCAGGACCGGTAATCAAAAGAACGACTCATAGTCGGGAACAGAGAGAGGGCCTTTCTAGCCACCAAATGGGCTACCCTATTGCTACACCGACCTACAAATCGAACACTAAACCCAGGATTACCAGTAAAAATCCGAATGACCTCATCTAACACAGCCCCCAAACAACTATCCCGAGCATCCCTGAGATTGATTTTATCAATAATAATCTTCGCGTCCCCTTCAAAAGTAATGTCCTCCCACCCGAACGACTGACACCACAGAACAGCTTCTCGCAAAGTGACCAATTCCACTACCAAGGGGTCATCAATCCCCATAAACTGCACCCCCTTAACAAGCAAAACCTCCCGTTCCGGGGACAAAAGGACCAAACCTCCTGCCGAATGGGACCCACTCCGGACAGCCCCATCCCACATGCAAATAACACCATGCCCCCTACCTGCCCCGTGGTGAGTAGGAGTAGCCTGGACCTCACCAGGAGCCCTATCCACCGGAAGCCGGACCCACTCCTCATACTGCTGCCGGAACTGGCGCATCAGGGCAGAAAACCCAAACTGCTTGCCTTCAAAGACAACCCAGTTGCGAGAACGCCAGATTCGCCAGAGGACAGCCACTACGGCCATAAAATCATTCGGTTGATGAATCAAAGCCATTAGCCGCTTGAGGAATAGGGGGAAAGTATAACGCGGGAGCCCTTCCCCTAAGTGAGCCAACCCTGCATAATCCCAAATGGCCCGTGCCACTGGACAGTCAAGAAAAAGATGTTCCATAGTCTCCGAGTCTGCCCAGCACACCGGGCACCTGGGATGCACCGGAACCTTCCGCTCAATAAGGGCCTCAGTAGTAGGCAAAATCCGATTGAGAATTTGCCAGAGAAAGACCTTTAACTTCGGAGGTATTTTGGCTTCCCACATCCGAATCCAGCTTGCCCTATCCATCCAGCTGACCCCTAACTTCCAACCCCCCCCCCCCTCGCTTATCAAGAGAGACTGCTAAATGATAAGCAGATTTGACCGAGAACACTCCATCCGGGGAGTCATGCCAAATTAACCTATCCTCAATCGATTGCCTTGGCAGCGGTATAGTTTTGATGGCCCTACAAGTTGGCGGGTCAAACCATTGGCTGAGAAGTAGATCATTCCATCGCCCCTCCCCTTGATCGATTACCTCTTCGACCTTCAAGTCCCCCTCCTCCGGTAAGACACGAGGATTGAACCTCGGAGGGTCCAACTGGAGGGCAGGGATCCAATTAGAATGGAGGAGCGAGGCAGTTTTTCCATTCCCAATTTGCCAACGCAAGCCCTTCTCCAATAAATCTCTACCATACAGAATGCTTTGCCACCCCCAAGAAGGACGAGAACGGGCAGTGGCAGTAAGAAACGATCCCCTTGGGAAATATTTACCTTTATATACCTGGGCTAGTAAGGATTGAGGTTCCATAAGAATACGCCAGCCAACTTTGGCTAATAAGGCTTGATTAAATTGCTCAAAGCGGCGGAACCCCAACCCCCCATCATGCTTACTGCGACACATACTTTGCCAGGACATCCAATGGATCCGAGACTGGTCCAGAGCATCCCCCCACCAGAATCGGGCTACATGCTTATCCAAAATCCGACACAAAGATACCGGAAGCTTGAAACAGGACATCACATGCAATGGCAAAGCCAGAGCGATAGATTTTATCAAGGTCTCTTTTGCCGCCCACGATAGAGTCTTTTGCTTCCACCCTTGCAGGCGATCTAATAATTTCTCCTCAAGATACCTGAAAGTGGCCATTATCGACCGTGCGAATAAAGTAGGGAGCCCAAGATACTTATCATGTACCCCTACCGCTCCCACTCCCGAGATAGCAGCCAGGAACTCCTGATCCGCACGGACAATATTTCGACTAAAACAGACCGCTGATTTGTCCAAATTTACTCGTTGGCCACTCAGTTCCTCATACTCATTCAACACCTCTATCAAATTTTCACACTCCAGGAGCGTACCCCTCAGAAATAGATACGAGTCATCAGCAAAGAATAAATGAGAAATACGGGGCGCCTGAGGAGCCACTTTTACCCCTTCTAACCGTCCCTCCTGAATAGTTTTCCTCAGGATCGCCGCAAAGCCCTCCGTACAGAGTACAAATAACAACGGGGATAGGGGATCCCCTTGTCTTAGACCTCTGGAAGAGGTGAAAAACCCAGAGGGGGTACCGTTCATGAGGACCGAGAAAGAAGCAGACCGTAAGCACTCCTGAATCCAGCCTCTCCAGGTAGAGCTAAAGCCCATCTTATCCAAAATAGCAAGAAGAAAGGGCCATTCGACTCTGTCATAGGCTTTTTCCATGTCAACCTTTAGAGCCATGTACCCTTTCTTGCCCCGCGTTTTGATTTTCAGATAGTGCATTAACTCATGCCCTAAGAGGATATTCTCAACAATCTGACGCTCCCGAATAAAAGCATTCTGACCTTCCGATATAATTTGCGGTAGGATACCAGCAAGCCGCTCTGCCATAATTTTCGTGATGATTTTATAAACAAACTGACAGAGACTAATAGGACGTAATTGCCTCATGGATTCCACTTTATCAACCTTCGGGATTAACGTAAGCCAGGTGTGGTTGAAGCTGCGGAGTAAACGACTAGTCGTAAAGAAAGAACACACCGCATCCACCACCGAAGCCCCCACAACATCCCAGAAGGTTTTGAAAAATTTACCCGTAAATCCATCCGAACCAGGCGCCTGTTTCGACCCCATAGCAAACACCGTTTTCCGGACTTCACTAGGGAGAACCTCCGCAGTTAGGCTAGCATTCATCTCAGGGGAGACATTACGATCAATAGGCAATCCTGCCACACGCTCAACCATGTTAGCTACCTGGTTCTCCGTCGTGAAGAGATTCTGATAAAACAAATTCGCAATGTTTGCCTTTCCAGTCTCATCTGTAATCCACTCGCCTGTCTCACTACGCAGGCCCTCCACAAAATTTCTTTTCCGACGAGTTCGGGTCACTGTATGAAAATAGGTCATATTCTGGTCTCCCTTTTTCAACCAGTGAACCCTAGACTTCTGTTGCCAGTATTCCTCCTCCGCCTCCCACTGACGATTTAATTCCTTCTCCAGATTTCGGACCTCATCCCAATTAATGGGCTGGGTAAGCTTAACCCTATCAATTTCACTCTGGAGAGTCTTGATATTCCGCAAGGAGTTTGTAGTTCCAGCCCTACTCCAATCATAAAGTAGATGACGGAGATGCTTAAGGCGCTCCCACAGACAGAACATGGGAGTCCCCTGAATGTCCTCTTTCCAAACATAGCAAACCATAGCCCTCACCTCCGGATTATCCGCCCACCTAGCATCAAATCTAAAAAGAGGACGACTATTACGCACGTAAGGTTTATCCGAGAGAAGGAGAGCACGGTGATCAGAACCTTGATCCGTGAAGTGTTTCACCAAGGTATCTGGGAACCGATCAACCCAAGACTGGGAGCAAAGAGCCCTATCGAGCCTTTCCCGAATACAAGCCTCTCCCATCCTTCTATTATTCCAAGTAAATGGATCCCCAAGGAAACCAGGATCATGGAGCCCAAGGTCATGGATAAACTCGCGCAGACTAATAGAATGGGATGCATTCCAAGGATTACCACCATCTTTTTCATCCATATGGAGGGTAACATTAAAATCGCCGATGACCACATAAGGCAGAGTAATCGTGGAACAGAGTTCCCGAAGGCGAGCCAATTGGGACGTTCGAACAGCAGAAATGCAACTAATATAAACACAAATCACAATATAAGAAAAATCCTCTTCATTAATCTGGACGCAAATACAAGAACTAGAATGATAAAACACCGAAGCATCAACTTCTGGGGACCAAGCTACTACAAGACCACCGGACGCATCAACCGCATCCACAAAAAAACAATGGGAAATATCAAATCCTAGACCCCGCACACGACGGGAAACAACACGGCGGCTCGATCGAGTTTCCGAAAAAAACACGAGATCCGGTTTATTCGAACGAACTAAACCTACAGCAGTTTGGAATGTGAGGGATGGCCCAATCCCTCTCACATTCCAGGCGAGGAGTCTCATTTATCCGCCGGGGGCCACTCTAGGCTGGCTTCCTCCACCTTTTCCTTAACATGATCATCAGCAAGTTCCACAAACTGTTTCTTTGGCGTAGGAGGAGACCCCACTTCACCTTCCACGACAGCCAAAGTGCGTTTGCGGGTTTCAACCACCAGCTCCGTCAAATTTGACCCATACTCATTAATCAAATCAGCTCCCCCCTCGTGCAACCCAACATTCGAGCCCGAAGACCCAATCTCACAGCCGACGACCATGGGTGGGTCCACAGTAGTCTGGGCAATAGTCAATCCTGCCTCAAAGGCCGCTACTACCTGGGATACTTTACCCCCCAAACCCAGGCCCTGATCCACCGATGGAACCCGTGGGACTCTTCTTTTGATTTCAAAACATTGGGTCTCATCTTCCATCCCTGAGTCCGCCGACTCACTTCCTCTTTTGGATTCCAAACTCGTTCCCTTTATCCCAACTTTATCAAGAACGCCGCTGTCCCCAGCCCCCCCGACGCCCTCTCGCGTCCCAGCACTCGCTGCCGCTCCAGTCGAGCTGCCTTGGTTGCGTGCACCGGGCCTAGGGGTTACAGCCTTTTTCCCCCGCACATGGTTCCCCTCACTTTTCTTAGTGGCGCCCTTCTTTCCCTTTCGAGCAACCCCAGCTCCCGTTCGCAAATGCTGATCAGCCGCCACACTATCACCCTCGACCTGGGCTTCCAGTTTGACCGCCGAAGGAGTCTTGGAGGCCCGGCGACGCAGTCGGCGCTTCCCTAGCTTGGGGTTAACAAGCACCGGACTCGCCGCCCTATGCTCCTGGGTATCTTCCTGCTCGGCAGGCATCTCCCTCAGTGGGACGTCCGAAGACAAAAGCTCATGCGGCTGGGGCGAGACGATCATGTCGTCATCAGAGTCATCCTCAAGAATTAGCCGGCGTCGTCGGCATGTTTCCACGATCTGAGCCTGCATCGAGGCAGCCTGTGGAGCCGACCCCTGGCTTCTTTCCTTCGGGTTGAGAGTGCCGCCTGTTTCTTTTCTTCCTCGGGACGACGAACTAGCAGGTGCTTTTTTTGGCGTTCGCCGTTTCTGCTGCCCACCTCCGCGCGAGCTTGATCTTGGGGGACCTGTTCATAACAAATCCCCTAGGGCTTTGCTTACGCCTCAATGGCGACTGATGCATGTCACTCTCCACCGGCGAATCCCCCGGAGACCGCGTCTCCCCATCCTGGACAGTCGGCGACAGCTGTTGATGCTTCATTTGGACAGGGACCGCAAGGCGATTTCGGCCACTAGAGTTATTATCATTGCTTGCCTTGCGCGGGTTCCCAGCCACCATACCACGAGGTTGGCGATTAATCCATACCGAACTCCTCGATCCCCCCACCGCCATTGAATCATCATCCTCATCATACACTTGCCGACCCAACTTCTTGGTCGTCATATGAGGACCCAGTCTTTCTTTCCCTTTAGGAGGGTCAAAAGTGCAGTCACGTCGAGCATGGCCAACTCGACCGCAATGGAAGCAAAAACTCGGCAGGAACTCATATTTGAGGCTCACCTCGAATCTGCCGGTTTCCTCACTATCCGCCATCAAGTGCGACCGAAGTGGCTTAGCAAAATCTACAATAGCTCGAACTTTAATAAAGCGTTCGCCTGTCTCAGTCGACGCAAAAAGGCTTGAGTCAAGGACCTGCCCCACAGTCGAAGCAATGAGCTTTCGACCAAATAGTTTAGTCCTACAATCCTCCTGCACGCCCCAGAGCTGGATCTGAAACGGAGCCAACGACATCTCCTCAAACTGATTCCTGGTGATCATTGGGGACCAGGAACGAAGAGTAATCAGCTTGTCCGTGATGACCCAAGGGGTACGAGCCAACGCCCATTTTTTTGCTTCCTCATTCGGCATCACAATCTCAAAAAGACCATATTTGGCCTTCGAAACTTTGAGATGGCCGCGCAACTGCCAGGCCGCCAGCAAACCGTCGCGCAGCTCCATTGTCGATGGTTGATCATTGGTGAAAACTCTTCCCAGAAGCGTGCGAGATGACCGGAATCTAGCTGACTGGACCTCCTCAAGGGAGAATTTGACAACTTGTTCGTCAGCAACGTGCGTCATCATGTTCGTAACCTGCCAATGAGAAGAGTAAGTTGGGTTAACAATAGGCGCGGCACCCCCTAGCAGCCCTTCCGCCGGGACGAAGGTGTACGACCCCAGGGAAGAAAAGGGCTGCGTAACAGGAGCTTGCAGATCAAAAACAAGGGCTGGCGGGTCGAGGACAGTCCCGTTACCTGAGCTCTCTTCAGCAGCAATACTAAGAGACGCGGGTATTGAGGGATTACTTCCGCAGCCTTGGTATATGGGATCAGGTTTTCTCACTGCTCCCCAGGCTTTAAATATAAATCCTATCCCCTGATCAAGTGCACCGCCCCGATGGAAGAGGTTAACTTGAATAGGATAATTAGCAAGAGTAGGACTCCCAAGCCTGTTAGGATTCGAGGTATTGATTTTCCTCCGGGATATATTTTTAAAAACAATATTCTTGAAACTTCCCGCAAAAATCGGGATCGGCTGCGATCCCACCGTTACAACTCGGTGCCCCAGCGCCACACGGGTCTCCAGAGGGATTTGGACTGACGGCGGCCAAAGGGTCTCACCGGTGAAAGTATCACGGAAGAGAGCTCCATAAATAGGAGATACAAAGCAATGATAAATTTTCAGATAATTGTGCTTGTGGGCTGTGATATGTGTTTTTCTTTTTCACATCTTTGCTCCTCGTATTTTATCTAAAACATCTCTTCATTTATAAAATAACTCCTTCGTGAAATTGTTTCCATAAATATTTTATCTAAAACATCTCTTCATTTATAAAATAACTCCTTCGTGACATTGTTTCCATAAATGCATGAGGAATTTTACAATGCTATATAGTATTAGTGCTATAGGTTTTTGCTTTTATGGTACAATTTGAAATTTTACCTTTAACGTTATGGTACAACTTCAGATTGTACCTATACTTTTTGCACAAATTCTTTTATGGTACAACTTAAACTTATACCTTATGTGATCGTACAACTTCAAGTTGTAAAGTTGTACCATAACATAATGATACAAATTTGTTGGGCATGTGACTCGGATCCCGCCACGCCAAAGAAACACCGACATCAGAAGAGATGGTCGCGTTAGTACCGACGCGACCAGAAAGGCACACCGGCGAGCGCCACCACCAAGGGCGTCGGGCGCATCAGTACCGAAGCGAGCGAGCACACCGGCGCGACCGAGGGCAGCCCGAACACCAAACGACGATGTTCGAGTCCAGCGTTGACCAAATTAGCGAGTGTGGGAAAACGACGCTGCGTTCCACCCGTCGAGTGGTCACATCATAGTCCTAGTCCTAGGTATAATAAAAGGCTAAATGTACTTGTCCTAGGTAGAGGTATGGTCTAGTCTTCTGACATGTCAGTAGTCATGTCACCATGTAACTCACCCACCACCATGTAGCTTATAAATAGGGCATTTACTCCGGTGGGTGAGGGGATTGGATTTTTGGGGGAAAACTCTCTCTCTAAGAAAAGAACATACTTCTCTCTCAAAAAGTCACTCTCTGAACTCCATCCTTTCTTTCTTTCCTTCCTAAGTTCCAGTTTGGTTCCTGTTGCTCATTCTCCTCGACCCCTTTTACTTGAATCTCACTCCTACACTCAGTTAGGTTCAAACAATTGGCGCCCACCTTGGGGCAGAGTAGAAAAAGTAGCAGATATCCAACCAATGGCAGAGCTCAACTCCAACTTTCCCGACGAGGTGACACCCATCAAGGCTACGACAACCCGAGGGCATTCGCCGAAGGCAGCAACCTTAACGCGGTGCTCGTTGAGGAAGAAGAGCCCGAGCTGACAGCCAAGGAAATGAAGCAACTAATAGCGAAGCAAAACAGTGTCATAGCCGACATGCAAAAACAGATGAGCCAAGTCCTCGCGCTCTGATAGACCGTTAGTTACACATGTTTTCACCCCTGTTCTTACACCGTTTGAGAGGTGGTTTCTCGTGTTTTAGACCGATTTCACGCTAGGTTGTGCTTGTATGTGATATTTCAGGTCCTGGCAAGTGAATGAAGGTTTAGGAGCGAGTTCGGGGTCGATTGGGTGAAGATCGGGCGCGAGACAAGTCACAAAGGAGGTCACACGGGCTGCCCTGATGTTCACACGGCCGTGTGAAGTAATGGCCTGGCCGTGCGAGTTTTGCCGAGAGCACACACGGGCAGAGCAGAGGATCGACACGGCCGTGCAAGTGGCCGGGTTGGCCGTGCCACATTCTGCGAGAGCAAACACGGGCAAGTGGGGATGTCCACACGGCCGTGCCATTCTGGCCGTGCAAAGAGCCTGGAATTCGAACTAAATGAAACGATGCGTTTTGACTCACACGGGCAACTGGGTGAGCTGCACGGCCGTGCCACCCTGGCCGTGTGAGTCGGGATTTTCTCCTTTTAAGCATAATTTCAGCCACAATTCGGGGGGATTCGAGTTTTTGAGAGAGAGATCAGTTCCTAGAGAGAGAAAGTGACGAGCAAGAGTTCCCAAGTGCCCTAGATTGATCTTCAACACCATTGGAGGCCAGCTTGAGCTTGGAGAAGTGCCGATCAACATCCAGGAGCAGGAATCCATCCTTCACAGTATGAATTCCGCGTCTGATTCTGCTTTTGCTTTCTTCTCTATGGAGTAGTTCTCCCATTCATCTGGGTATGGAGAACCCTAGATTTGTATGTTAGGTTTGATTGTATGAACCCAAGTACTGATTCTGTGATTGATTATATTCGATTGAGGTTTTAATGATTGAATGACTTGAATCCTGATCAAATTCCTGTTGTTTCTGCTTTAACCTAGAATGAGAATATCTGCCTAGGTTAATAGAGTATCCTTGGTTGAAGGTAGGGAGTTGGTGACTTTAGTCGAGGAACCAACTCACTATTCTGTACCGGGTTTACTCCGGTAGTGGAGGTTTTGTTCTTAGGGCCTCAATCTGTCTACTCCGGTGGAGGTTAGTCGCCCGCTAGAGATTCAGATTGAGAGGGTCTGAAGACCTTTAGTCGAGACTTCAGGCTGTTTAAGAACCTTCCGCAGTATAATCTTCATAGAAACTGAACTTGGTAATTACAATCTGGCTTAACTGCAGTCTAGGGGGAACCATATCCGGGTGACCTCTTTAACCTGAATACAACCAGTTTACTTGCTTTGTTAGTTTGTTAGTTAGACTTGCATTCCAGTTTTATTGCTAGATAACAAGAACTCACTGAGTAGTCAGCAAATCTAGGACCCAGGTTGACATATAAACCTAAACCCGCTATACTACGCTTTAGGGAGTGGTTACACTTGGCCAATTCCTGGAGTGACAGTAGAGTCGAGTCACGCTCATGATGAGCAAAGAAGCCGCGACAGCACCGGGTGCGGCGCCTGTCGCACTGCAGCAAGGAGAGGCGTCAGGCGCAGCCCCGCCACCAAAACAGGCGGCGGGCGAGTTGTCCGCGACTGAAGCGCACCAAATCACTGTCCTGACCACCTCCCGCTAAAAAAGATCCTAACCTCAATGGAAGTGTCTGGGCGGATGGTCAAATGGGCGGTCGAGCTATCAGAGTACGTCATCCGGTACGCTCCGAGACCGGCGATAAAAGTGCAGATCCTGGCGGATTTTATCGCAGAGGGGGTAACCCTCGAAACAACACCAGAAGGAGTGTGGGAAGTTTATGTGGATGGCGCGGCAAGAAAACATGGTGCCGGCGTGGGAGTCGTCGTACGCACTCCTACGGGTGTTGTGCACGAAATAGCAATCCGATTCAGAGCTCTGAAGACGAATAACGCGGCCGAGTACGAAGCCATCCTAGCAGGAATGACAGTCACCAATGACTTGGGCGCTAGAACAATCAGGGTGCTCTCCGATTCATCACTAGCAGTTAACCAACTGAATGGAGCCTTCGACGCCAAAGAAGACGCGCTCGCACATTACATGGAGCGTGTCAAACAACGGGCAAATACCTTTGAGGCGGTGACATACGTGCAAATACCCAGAGAAGAAAATATGCACGCCGATGCGCTATCAAAGTTAGCCACAGCCACCGACTTCGAGTCAACGCGCTTGGTGTCGGAGCAGAAAGAGGAAGAAGAAACCTACCAAGAAGTTGTGGTCAACACCACTCAGACAACACAAGATGAAGACTGGCGAACACCGATCATAAGGTACTTGCAAAACGGCGCGGTGCCAGAATATGCCAAGGAGGCATGGACGTTAAGACAAAAGGCAGATGCACCCTAATTGGAGCGGAATTGTACCGACGATCATAATCCGGA